AGCGCTCTCCACATTCTCAGACCAGTCGATCTGGGTGGACAGAACCACCAGCTGGGCCTGCACACACACACACACACACACACACACAGAGAGCACTGCTGTTCACCTGTGCACTAGCGACTGCGGTGCAACCACACTCCACACTGCCAGACGATCCGATCACTGATGTTCATGTGAACAACTCCGCAATCAACTCTGCTGTGAGGTTTCATTACACCGCTGTTGTCAGCCATCTCGGCGTGCGGCTCACCTGGTAGCGGTCGATCCAGCTGATGTAGGTGGTCAGGTCGATGCCCGTGCCCTTGTTGAATCCGCCCACCTCCGTCACCGACTCCGCCAGCAGCTTGGCCAGCGTCACCCGCATCTCGCGCTCCACCAGCGTCAGCCACTCGTTGATCTTGGGGTGCTCAGTGATGGAGACCGCCGTCTTGTACAGCACCTGACCCCACACACACACACACACACACACACACACACACACACACACGCACTCCATCAGCATTCATCATCAGCAGCTCACGGAGACGGCCAGGTCAGCACAGGGATGAACACTTCACATGAGGACAACATCACCGTTCAGTAAGTGCTGACAGAAATCCCAGCACTGCATTAGAAACATCACACATCCACAACAGTCATGTGAGCTAGCGTGCGCACCTCCTCTCCCTCGCGGGACGAGATGCCCAGCACCTCAGTGTTGTCCTCGTTCAGCAGGATGCTGGAGACGCCTGCAAACATCTTCTTGAAGTGCTTCTGCAGTTTGGCCACGTTCTTGCTGTTGCCGATGATCTCCAGCAGATCTTCATCACCCACAAAGTAGAACCTGCCGGGAGCAAACCACTGCACTGAGTCTCCAATAATGAGCAGACGATGCTAATGAACAGCGTGAGGGACGAGCCAGAGTAACCGGATATCTGTTTAAGCTGAAATCTGATTGGTTGACCAGTTTTTAGAACGACACATCAGATCAAAAACACGAAGCGGAGGATTTTGTCTTATAGATGTGTTTCCGCCTGCCGCTTGTGCATCAGTGTGTCACGTTTAGTCACTCACAAGGTGTTAAAGCGCAGCTCTGGTGACAGATGTCCTTTTCCAGCAGTTTGGACAGACATGTGTGTGGGTATAGTGTATAGAGCATCATATTGGGCCGATATAAACACACACAGTCATTTTTGTTCAATTTAACAAACATATAAACGGTGGACCAATTGGAGTGGATTTTAGATCGTTCACAACTTGACGGAGTGCGGTAGCCCCGCCCACCAATATTGATTGGCCGACGCACATCACCATATCCTCAGTTTGTCGTTTCACGTCTGCCATTTTCAGCGTGCAAGTCACAGCGATGTCACCAGAGGAACACTCGTGCTCTATTATTGCATGTAAGGCTCATTGGGATCAACACAAGAGGCTTCATCAGAGATTTTACATTTAGCAGGCGTTTGCGCTGAACATGCCGTGAATGCACCGTATGGAGATTCAGGCCGGTAAACAGCGAGGCTTTCAGCACTCTCTCCCAGAACACTCGATTGATCTGGGCTGGCGGATCAACATTCACCACATGATCGCTCTCAGCGGCGCTGTTGTTTGTAACTTTAGGTGGGTTTGCAGACCTGCCTACTTTTCACTGCTTCTTCCTTAAATGTTTGCATTTCGCGCGGTCACGGAGCGAGTGTGAGTATGTTGCTCACGTCCCTCCATTAGACATATCGAACCTGCCTTAGTGATCGCCTCAGTCAAAGTTAATCCAGTGTGAGGTTATTAGTCTCGGTGTACAAGCTCAGAGCTTTAAACTAGCACACAGCTGGCATCACTTGTTTAGCTGCCGCAGTTTTGCTCTGTGCAGAAGCACCGTGTTGAGAAGCCTTTACGATTAACCGTGACTGATTACAGCGCTGTTAATAGTGAAACCAGTTAATCATTACATCCCTATACGGATGATGCATGCATCATGACACAGCGGCTGTAAAACTATACAGACACAAACGCTTTTGTAAGTACCGCTCTGACACTTTCTGGCACGTGAGGAATATTGATCCCTCAACAGTGGTCTCTGCTTGGTCTGTGTCGAGTCGTACATGTACGGCTGAATGCTGTTCCTCTCACTCATGTTGCTTCTCTCTGTCTGTTGCCTTATACAAGGTGAGGGAGCTCTTGGCTCCGCCCCTTTTTAAGATGGGCGGGAAGTCAAAACTAATTTTCATGTGAAGCAACACGCCCCTAACAGCGAGCTGTGTGCACGCCCAACATCACACTATAACACATCATAATAAAATAATCTGAACTGTGCTGAACTGAAGCTGCACTGACACACTCACAACAACCAGAATATTCATATTACATCTTAAAGAAGGGGGGAATAGGTGTCCTCTAAACGCCAGTGAAAATGGTCTGGTGTGCACGAGACAGACATGATGCCATAAGAGGGCTGTAGAGAACACGTCTGAACACTCCTCCAGCTGCAGCTGATCATACCTGGGGAAGGACGAGCGCTCTCTCTCCAGATACTCCCCCAGAGCCTTCTGGATCTTCCCCAGCAGATCCGCCAGTCTCTCCAGAGACCTCTGAACCCCCTGGATGTTCAGCACGTCCATCACCAGCGGAGACTTGGTCACCTTCTTCATCAGAGCCAGGAACTCTGTGCTGATGCTGGAATGGGTTTAAAGGGTCAGTTCAGACACACACACACACACACACACACACACACACACACACACACACACACACACAGAAATAATAATCATCATCATCATCATCTCACTCTTCACTCATTTTAAACCGTTTCTTTCCTCTGTTGAACACAAAAGAGGATACTTAGAAAAATGCTGAAACCCTGTAACCACTGACTTCCCCATTCACATCCTCTCAGTCCTAAATGGTACAGGAAAACAGAACTGTCCCCCTGACTGTTTGACAGATGTCAAATTAGTTAAAACTACAAATGCAGGTTAAAAGTGTAAAATTACAAACATGGCGTCTGCACGAGACCAACAGTGCATTAGAGATGCTTTGGGAAAGGTGTTTGAATATTTAATATCCAGTCCACTGCAGAATATTTCAGTCATGTTTCTGAGTGATATTTGATCTGCAGCAACACCGTCAACTTCTGTCAAGACCTGTTCAGTTATAAACTCCTGAATGCATGGCCAACTCGTGGATGGCTGATTGGGATGAGGTAACAGGATTTCTGGCTAATGTGCAGCTTCAGCATTTCTCTAAACATCTTTAGTGTTCAGCAGAAGGTTTGAAACCCCTCGAGGGAGAGTAAACAGTGAGAACAGTCATGTGTGGGTGAACTGTCCCTTCAATCAGACCAGCAGTGTGTGTGTGTGTGTGTGAGATGACCTCTGACCTCTGGAAGCGCTGCGTCTCCACAGGCAGCAGGTGTTTGATGTCTGCACTTCCTGTGAAGATGCCCTCCAGGTAAACCCAGCGGCGCTGCACATCGATCCACACGTCGAACAGCGCCATGATGCGGTTCAGCTTGTCCTCCCAGCTCAGAGCGTCCTCCTCAAACACCTGCACACACACAGCAGTGTTACACCCTGCAGGGCCAGTGTGTGTGTGTGTGTGTGTGTGTTCACTGATAGACAGATGTGTGTGTGTGTTCACTGATAGACAGATGTGTGTGTGTTCCTGACCTTATAGTATGGCGACAGCTTCATGGCCGACACGCTGTTGATGTGCTCCTTCACCTTGTTGAACAGATCGTCCCAGCCGCGGATCAGGCGACACTTGTTCTGGTAGTTGACCAGGTCCAGCTC